CAATGTTATGTTAAGGCTCTATAAAACTTTCATTCTCCCTCATTTTGAATACTGTTGCCCCCTCTTTCTTGGATTGGGGAAAGTGCAAGCGAATCGGCTAGAAGATGCCAACTATTATATTCTTAGATCACTGCTAGGTTATCTCAAGTCTACCCTTTATGATGAATTGCTGCGAATCTTGAATATGGAAACGTTAGACCAGAGAAGGAAACAACAATCCCTTATTCTGTTATATAAATGTTTGCATAACGACGGTCCCAAATACATCAGAGATTTTTTTAGTTTTAGGGAAACTATGTACAACCTGAGAGGAACCGGCATTAATTTGTGCGCACCTAAATTTAATTTAAATTTTATGAAAAAATCTTTCACTTATATGTGTGCGCAGCTGTGGAATGGATTACCTACAAGTGTAAAACTGGCCAATGATATCAACCTTTTTAAGAAGCTATTGAGAACATTGAAACTTTAGCTGCTTCTCAATTTTATACTTGTATTTAAGTGACTCTCAATTTCATTGTACAAACTAAATTTTTAATTTTAAATTATTTAAGCTATTGCTTCATCATTTTATACCTGTATTTAAGTGACTTTGAATTTTACTGTACAAACTTAAATTTTAATATTATTTGTTAGTTATTTTAATTTTTAATCAATTAGGTTTTGACAGTATGTATTAGGTTTTTTAGATTCTTAATCTTAGAGGCACGTACGTATTTTGAACGAGCTCTATGAACTCCTTGACGCTACGTGGGTAAATAAAGTATTGATTGATTGATTGATATTGATTGATAAGGACGAATAAAACGTAGGTCCCGTCTCCTGCATCTATTAGTTAATTTGGTTAGGCAGGGGACGTTAAAGGACCCACTCACGAGATTACTGTGATGAGGTCTGGCCTGTTTACTGGGAATTGGGGGGAGGAGACATCTGTTAGATTCGTCTTCCATTGGATTGTAAACTGCTAAGCAGTGTGGTAAACTCCCCCGTACACTGTTGTAAAGCGCCATGAGCTTAGGATATGAGCGCTATATAAATAAAAGTTATTATTATTATTGTTTAGCTGAGTGATCACACAAGAATAAATGCTAAAGTCATGGCACACGACCTAAACTGTGAAGGCTGACAATAACTCATGGTTATTTCCGAGATGAGATATCATTTAGACTACGAAAAGTCCGGCGCTGCGCGCGAACATCAATTTTTTTGCTCTTTTATTTTTTCGTTTTTGGTTTTTTTTGTTTTCTGTCTCCCTGTGGCAAACCCGCATCGGCTGCTCGCAAATTTTCTTAAATCTTATTGGCTCCTGCCAAAGACGTAAAGGGAGTGGAAAAAAAGGTTAATTCAGGTTGCCGCTCTTCGATGAGGTAAGAGACTACGACTGTTGAACGCAACATGGACCCTAAGCCGAACAAGATGAACAGTTTTTTGCTTTTAGTTCTGTTGGCTGTTTTGAGCACCGGTGAGTGAGCGGTATGACTTTTGGTTTAAGTATAATTCAATTTTAAAGCACAACTTGTGTAAGCTCTGAACTTGAAAATTAGTCGGAGTAGTTTACTTCTATGAACTGATTTTCGTGAAGTCAATTTTATCCCATGTCTGAGATCCTTTTTAAGTCAAAATAAATGAAATTTAGCTTACCAAGATAACCGCGACTGAATAGAGTTAACTTCAAACGATCGGTTGAGGATGGATGCGGTAGAGATCAGAAGTGACAAAACTCGCCAAAAAACTCGCCACCACTCAAAGTGAAATCGCCAGCAGTGGCGATTTGACTAAAACGTTATATATGAAACTTACATCAAATGATAGCTAAGATGTAGTAGTTTATTGCGAAAAGGGAAAGATGTTGCGTCTCACTAATGGAATGTTAAACGAAATAAAACATGTTGATATCACGAAGATTATGATCAGTTTGCGAACAGCGAAACCAGAGTGATATTCGCCGAGTGAATAAATGAAATCGTGTGAAACTTATATCATATAAATGCTAAGAAGTCGAAGTATATTGCGAAATTAAAACGCGCGTAAAAATACAGCGAAGTTTACTGACTCAAACAGACTTTGGCATCCTTTCTTTGTTTGGTTAACTTTTTGTTTTAATGAATTAAGAAATGCGGCTGTCGAGCGTGCGAAATTCTGATCTCGATAGAGAAGTTCAGGCTAGCATCGTAAAGGACGAGAAATAAAGCTTTCGCTGCTTGAGTTCAGATGGGGAAATCTTTCACCTGAGTTAAATCAGGAACACATTAATTTTTGTGTTGCGTGTTAGTCTATAAATGATTTCGAAGAGTGTCTTTGGAGTGCTTTATTTTTCCAAGCGGAACTTAGGT